AAAATACCCCTTCTCAGAAATATAGACTGATCCTGAAGCAGGCCGGAGTGTACTACAACTGAAATGTAAATTGTCTAAATAGTTAAAATACATCATCTCAAAAATATAGACGGATCCTGAAGCAGGTCGGAGTGTACTACGGTCGAAACATCGTGAATATGACAATAAAGCTGAGAGCAACATTCCGAACGATATAAATAGCTTCTTCTTTTTTTGCAATTCTTAACAATGTTCATCTTTTTATTATTCATCAAATTCCATGTTCTTCTTCTGAGGTTGGTTGCTCGTTGTTTCCATCTGTCCTTCTTGCTTTCAATATGTCCTTTGAGTGTCAGTTTTGCCAAGCCTTTTGTCTCTTTCTGATGCTTAGTAAAATGTTTCATTTTGTCGCATTTTTCTTTGAAAGTTTCTCATTGCTCTCATGTTTCTCGACGGTATTCTGCGCGCCCTTCTATAGATTCATATATAACTGTTCGGCATTCTTTTCTTTGTTTCTACGAACATTTTCCTATCTCTTAATACTTTGCATTGTTTCTGAAAGGCATCTTTTGCTGATCCAATGCACCCTTATATTTCTGTATTAAATTTGCTTCATATCACGTTACCCATATTGTTCAATTTCTGTGATTGATTCATTCTTTATACTGATTTTTTTTCCAATTCGTGGCCAACATTTTGTGCTTTCTGACGACCATACAGTATTTTCACAGTCGATAGTTAGGCGTTTCGTCATGCTTTCTTTATTATCCTGTCTATTTCCTGCAAGTTTCTTTCTATGTCTACTTTCAACACAGTCTTATCGATACAAATGGTAGATTTATAAACATGCAAGATGGATTCTGGCGAGATAAGCTCGACATAGTGAACCCACTTTCTTAACAATTAATACAATATGGTCATACCACTTCATGTCAGTGGCAAACGTGAGACCAAGATGGCGCGATGAGTTGCTCTCTTGAAGATTAGTCTCAGCCATGCTGGCGGAAGGCGAAAGGAGTTTTCTACGGTGAGTCAAAGAGAGCAGTTTCATTTTTGAATCGTTGAAATCTACAAGCCCTTTCTTGGCCCAGTTAACAACTGATTGCAGTTAATTTTCGAGAGCAACAGCTAGTTGTACTTATCGGTAATACCAGACATACTAATAAGACCGGGAAAAAAAAATTAGTTTACAAAATGAGAAAATAAAAAGAAAGAAAGAAAAACCTCCAGATATCAATGACGTAAGTATATTCTCAGATTTGATGAGCGAAATTAACAAACTTTGTGGGACAGTATTCCTCAGCAGAGTGTGCCCGAATAAAGGAGGGAAAAGAAAATAACAGACGAATTCAAGATAACGCTGTAAAAAGTTAGGGATCGTTTTTTTACTTTATTTACATTAGGAACAGGACAGCACTTTCGAATTAATAAAATGTTAATATTTTTGTATTCTGACAGATGTCAAGGCTTTAGAAATGTTTTATTAATGGTAACCTCCAAAGGTTTTTCACATCAGACATGAATTTAAGCGCAGTAATGGAATGGCGTTCGGTAGGCATTCTTGGCTATAATATTACGCCTTCGGATTTCAGTCTCATACTTTCCACCCTCTCTTAAAACACCTCCCAGAGAATTCAGTTTTGTGTGTGTTTGATTTTGGCATCTCCAATTTGTAATTTTCACGTTGGGGTCATCCTTTTGCCTACAACCACGCATTCACTCTTCTTGCAGTTGATTTTTCACCATTTTTCTCGATTTCCTTTTGTAGAAGTACTTGTAGTTTTCATTCCGAGTCTGCTATCAACACTGTCGTCTGCATATCTTATGTTAAGATTGTGGCCGTCAATAATAAGTCCCTTTTTGCTATATTTCCTAATCTCTGTTCTTCCAACCATTTAACACAAACTGGGGACGGAGGTTATGCTCTGGATCCTTTGTTCCCATTGCCTTCACTATGTCTTGTGAATGTCAAAATCTCTAAGCCCTCTTTCCTCATTATATACCCTAGGTATTTCAATTACCTCGTTCTGATTCTAAGTGTGGGTTTCTTTGACCAGAGGAACACGCCGGGAGATCGTGTCCCACTCCCAGGTATTTGAAAGGGCTACTTTGCACTATCCTTTCTTCCAATATGGATGGATGTGCGGGTTGTATAATGGATAACGGCTCGGAATGAAAAAATAACGAGAATAGTTCGAATTCCAGTCGGGTTCGTTACGTTCACTTTCGCGCAGATAACCTGGGGAAAGTTATAAATACGCCTCTTCTATTCCCAGCTTCGGACAAGGATTATTTGACACGGGCGTTATTTTAAGTTTGCAGAGGCTTGGGGAGCCAAGGGTACGCCAACACTATCGCTCATTCCTCCAACAGTGGAGGCTGTTTTGATTATGTATTTGTACTGTCTTCTGATTTATAGCAACTCTCCATAAAAATGGCGCCTGGAAGGGCGATGGTTAGTTCATGAGTGATTATCTCGATGGGCCCCTGACCAAGTGTTAGAACGTTCGCTTGATAACCATGAGACCCGGGTTCGAATCTCATCACAGTTGATTTATCGGTCTGGGGGTACGATCCCAGTGTGAGGACCTTTGGAAAGTGCCTGAAAACCATACCACGTGTTGACCCAAGCCTTGTGAGTGAAATTGGGTAGACGGAACACTTGGGGGCCGTCGATAGCTGTACTAGAAGCCAGACGTCATCGTGCCCGACAGCGTGATCGTGCTGGCCGTGTTCAAATTGTTGATCACACTAGATAACACCCTCTTTCCCAGAAGCTCCAAGGTAAAATATAAACCACAGGTTGGCTCTGTGGGTGTTGAGCAAACACAAAATGTGCCCGAGCGAGCGTCTGCAATAGGGATTGGCTAACCACCCTAGTAGACGGGTATCCTCGAATACGAGCGACCAGCTATTATTATATTATTTCGATGAGCACAGTTTCGATCGAGTCCACACTGTCCAAAATTGCAAGGCCGATTATGCGATCGTTAGTTTTGCTTGCGTCTTTATACTGTTAATCCACAGGTGGCAGTACTTCTTGGAGCTTAGATATCACCCGGCCAAAACCTCGAAGATTCAGAGAGGTCATGAAATCAAATAATTAAAAATCTTCCATTCAGGTCCACATTTGAAAATATCTTAACTCCTTTTCATATTCTATTTAATTTAAGACAAAAATATCTTTATATTTATTATTATTATATATTTTGGTATTTTTAGTTTTGTCAGGTACGTGGCGTGGCTTCTCTCTGTCTTTTCTAAAAGTCAACTACTCAGACGAACTTTTTCCCTGGTGCCCCAACTACATGAAGTTAAGCGCGCTACGAGATTGGCATACAGGTTCCACCCGTTTACTGTGAAAATAGCTAAATGCATCCGCCACTTCTACCCCAACAGTTTCTTCTACTGTACTTCCCGCCCGTGGAACTCCCTTCCGTTTACTTGCTTCCCTGATGATTACAATCTTCAAAAATTTAAATGCAACATCAATCGCCATCTTCTATCTTCTTGAATCCGATTAATCTTTTGTCCTTTCCTCAACCCTCTCTATGCTCAGTCTTTTCTCTCACTTTCACTCCCTGCAACCCGCTGCGTACTAGTGGCCTTTCTGCCTTGCTTCTGGTAAAATGAAAAGAAAAAAAAGGTTAATTTTATATTATTGAAATGAAAATTTACATTTTTTTTGTTTCTATGTTTAATATTAGCATATTGCAAACATTTTTAAAACACATTGTTCAAATGTATACTTTATGAATGAAATTAATACAACTTTAAAACTTTAATAGCTACGCACACGAATAAATATAATTTTGCATACATATGTTAATTTTATATAAAACTAGCAGTAGAGCCCGGCGTTGCCCGGGGATGCAACAGTAAGAGATAGCTCAAGTATCGACCATCATAAAGACTGAAAAATAAAATTGACAAAGATTATTGTTTAAGGTTGACGGACACGCATGACTTAATTAGTTTTTTGTTTTGTTTTTTGTTTTTTTTTACGAATTGGTAAAACCCAAACTCAAACAAAAACATTGTTTTCAATCGTTATGAGTCTATCGATTGAATAGAATTTTATTATAAACAATTGTCTTGTAAATGGAATTTTTAAAGCATTCTGAATGTAAAAATAAAGAAAAAAGTGTGCAAGACAATAAAAAACACTACCTGCCAAAAAAGTGAAGTTTTGTTGAAATCGGTTGAAAAATGTAGGAAATTCGATCCCATATATAAACGAACACACACACACACACACACACACACACAATCTCGGTTTTATAAGTATAACTCGATATGAGTTGTCCCCCTTTCATTCTCGTGACAGCGATGACTCTTAATCGTGTTTTCAAATTGATTTCGTGCAAAAACAATTGTTTTTTTTCCAATTTTTGGCACTGTCAGAACCACCTCAAGGTAATTTTACGTAGCCCTGTGAAGTTTTGTTGAAATCGGTTGAAAAATGTAGGAAATCCGATCCAATATATAAACGAACAGACACACACACACACACACACACACACACACACACACACACACACAACTTTGGTTTTATAATAAGTATGATTTCTGTAACATTTTCAATGTAAGAATAAAAACGTGTGAAAATGTTCTATGTTTTGTGGCTTTCACACATCTGAAGTTTTGACCTCAATCTTTTCTGTTATATAGCAGCTCTGGGCACAAAAGGCGCCTGGAAATTCGATGTTATTCCACGTGGAAAAGGTGATTAGTTCATGAGATATGTGTCTTGGTGAACTGATTCGTTGCTGGTCGAGTCCAAAACTGCAAGGCTGGCGATACGATCATGCAACGTGATTCCAACTATGGAGCAGTACAACGTTCAAGTTTCGCATCCGTAGAGAAGAGAAGCAAGACCCATTGCCTTGTAGTAGACTTTTAGTTTTGTTGACAAGCGTATATTTTGCGTAGGGCACCCCACATTTCGATTCTGCAGAGGAGAGAACGGAGGACCATTACGTTGTAGATTTAGCACACCCTATGTAAATGTAAACTAGAACATGATAAAATTACGCCCGTGCGAACAACACAAGGGAAATGAAGCCTTTCTTTCAATTTTCTTTTTTTTCCTCTTTATGTCTCAAAAGGAGAGGTTACCAGTTCGGGCCAAACTCCCGCTAGCTTCAAACACTAGAGGATACTATGACGTGAGGGTGATACACTACTTAACTCAGGAAAAAGAAAAGTTTTTTTTTTCTTTTTTTTCCCAGTGCAACTTTCCGTTTCGCGTACGATTTACCTGAAGTCATTCTGTTTCCCGCCATCTTTTAGTTCGACTTTTCCGTTTAGCTACCAAGTTTCATCTTTCTTCATTCGACTGCGGTTATTTGCTTCGCTCAATCCCCTCGATTTCTTGAAAATTGATTTTTCCTTCTTTATCTTATTTTTCGTATTTATTGATCCATTTCCATTTCGCTATTGTTTTTTTTTCTTCTTCTTCTTTCATAGGTTTTCATTCGTTCGTTTATTTTCCTCTTCGATCACTTCTTAGACTCATGGTAGTCTCTTTTTTTTTCCTTTGTCACAGTCACGGTCTTTCTTTCTTTCTTTCTTTCTTTCTTTCTTTCTGTCTTTCTTTCTTTCAGAATTGTCATATACCTGCACTCTTTCCTTCCTTCCTTCCTTCCTTTCAGAATTGTCATATACCTGCACTCCTTCCTTCCTTCCTTCCTTCCTTCCTTCCTTTCAGAATTGTCATATACCTGCACTCTCTCTTTCCTTCCGTCTTTCTTTCTTTCTTTCTTTCTTTCTTTCTTTCTTTCAGAATTGTCATATACCTGCACTCTTTTTTCCTGACTTCTTTCTTTCTTTCTTTCTTTCTTTCTTTCTTTCTTTCTTTCTTTCTTTCTTTCTTTCAATGAAAATTCTCCTATACATTCTTTTTTCATTTTTCCTCTTTCTTTCTTTCTTTCTTTCTTTCTTTCTTTCTTTCTTTCTTTCTTTCAGAATTGTCTTATACATTCACTCTATCTTTCATTCTTTCTTTCTTTCTTTTTTCTTTCTTTCTTTCTTTCTTTCTTTCTTTCTTTCATTCAAAATTGTCATGTACATGCACTCTTTCTTTCTTTATTTATTTATTTTAATAAAATTTGTCGTATACATCCTTTCTTTCATCTTTTTTCTTTCTTTTTTTCTTTCAATCAAATTTGTCTTATATATTTTTATTACTTCTTTCTTTCTTTCTTTCTTATTGTCGTGGCCTGTTTAGGGGCCAGAAAGAAAGACACAGAAGACAAAGGTCGGTTGAAAAAAGTATATTGAAGATATATACAAAACAATAGTGTTAGTAATAAGTAGATTAGCACAGCGTCTACCACTCCGCTTCCGACTCTCGCAATTGTATTTATGAGAGGAGGAAGAGTTCATTCTACTGTAGGGGGGTTTACCACAACACTTATCTAGATCATTTTTATGGCCTGATCTTTATTTCATTTCAATTTGATCTCCCTTCCTTCTTTCTTTCTTTACCACTGAATTACTTTCAGTTTTCTGTCTTTCTTTTCTGGCATGTTTTTTTCTTTATTTGGTATTTTTCTCAATGATTGTTGTTCGTGCCTTTGTTTCTTGTCTGCTCTTAAATTCTTTCTTTCTTTCTTTCTTTCTTTCTTTCTTTCTTTCTTTCTTTCAGAATTGTTATATACCTGCACTCTTTCTTTCTTTCCTTCCTTCCTTCTTTCTCTCTCTCTTTCTTTCTTTCTTTCTTTCTTTCTTTCTTTCTTTCTTTTCACATCAATCCATCCTTCTGTCATTTCGATTGATATTTTCTACAATTCAATATTTTGTAACGATTTTTCCAGTTTGCGTATAAGCAGACGTAATTTAAAGTGCGTTCGAGTACACGCGACCATCCCTGGTCATTATCAAGAACGTTTAATGGCGATTATCTATAATATACTTATACTAAAAACAATTCTATATATGGCGTCACGTCTACTTGATACACGTGTATCTAAATTCGAATCTAATAGTACAAAAAAATCAGTATTGAATTAATAAGAAACCTTTTCTTCTATTAAAAGTGATAACATTATCCTTCATGATAATGACTGGAGAGGGTCAAAACATTATTAAATTTGAAGAATTTCTTCATAAATTTGGTTTTATGGCAGTGAATGCTAGACAAAGCAACAGAAATGTGGATGTTGAGAATACCATGGACAGAACATATGAGCAATGAGGAAGTTCTAGAGACAATGTCAACAAAGGGACACTTTTAGTTAACATCAGGAAGAGACAGTTGACATTTCTGGGGCACAAAAAAAACAGGAGAGATGGGTTGGAGGATTTAATACTCACAGGACATTGATAGTAAGAGGGAAAGCAACATACCTGACGAGTTTAAGCAAATTGATGTGATGTAACCTAGAAAGGGTTACTGAATGTGGAATAACCAAAATGGAGGTTAGAAATGAAATGGTAATCTTTATAAGGTCAACAAATTACAACACTCGTATTTTTGAGGATTCGGACATACCCATTAATGTTCATAGGTACAGTATATATATATATATATATATATATATATATATATATATATATATATATATATATATATATATATATATATATATATATATACTGTACTTTAATCAATCAGGACACTCATTAAAAACTGTAAATGTTTATTGATAGATTCTGATTTCAGTTCCGCATACACACGCAGAAAAAAAGAAAAATGCTGGATTTTAAAATTAAATACATATAAACTAAGGTTAAATAAAGACTAGGGTATTTTAAATCTTTATAAATATTTCAATAGTTAAACATTTTTTTAGATATAGTTAAAAAAATTTTTCATTTTTTTAAACAACATCTAAAATATTATTACAGTTAGATTTACGTTGGGGATTTTCGAACACAGTGGCGTTCCATATCACGTGACGTCCGCGTCTCGCGACGGACGCTACTTGTAAACAAACAGTTATTTCTGAAGAAAGATTGAGGTCAATCTGAAATATCAAATATATATATAAATAAATAAATACTTTCATAAAAAACATTATTTTTTTAATTTGCAACTTTTTCTAAATAAATATATATATATATATATATATATATCTGTGTGTGTATATATATATATATATATATATATAAGCAAATATATGGATATAGATCCGACAGTATGAAGAAAAATAATACAGCATAATTGCATATTAAGATTTTTGTTTGTTTTTTCTGTATTTTTCTTCATACTGTCGGATCTATATCCATATATTTGCTTACATACTGTCTACTGGAAATACAAACCTGAATTTACTTTATAACATGGAAGACTTCAAGCTTGGACGAGAATATAAGAATCTATTGATCAAGTAAGGAAAGGATTTATTATCGAACTGTTTTTTAGAACTGTTCCATCGTTTTTGAAATCATTTTTGATTTGCGTTGTAACGTGAAGGACTTCAAGCTTGTATGAAGATATAAGAACCTATTGATCACTACGTATTTCCTATATCAACGGAAGGGATTTCTTGAACTGTTTATTTAAAATAGTTTCAATCGACTTTTTAATATTTTAATATTTGGAAATCATCTTCGAATACGTTTTAACAACATCGCCCACGTGACGACAACGTGATCATATTTAAACGGAACGCTGATCTTATATAAAAATTTCAGTTATCTGTTTGGATTAGTTGTGCTCTTATGTCCATCGTCTTTTGTGTTAAATTTTTATATGTTCTAATGTTAATTATGTTTAAATGAAAATGTCCATGAAGATGGTCTTAAATAGACCGAAACGTCCGACGTCGACTTTATATTAACATTAATACAGCATAATTGCATATTAAGATTTTTGTTTGTTTTTTCTGTATTTTTCTTCATACTGTCGGATATATATCCATATATTTGCTTACACACACATATATATATGTATATATAGATATTAATATATATATATAAAGAGAAAGAGATAGATAGATAGATAGATAGGCACAGATTGAGATGGGCAGATTTATAAAATAATAAACTGAAATAGATAGATATGAACTGACTGATAGATAGATAGATAGATAGATAGATAGATAGATAGATAGATTGTTTTTCTGTATTTTTTTTCATATATATATATATATATATATATATATATATATATATATATATATATATATATATATATATATATGTGTGTTGTAACCTAGAAAAGGGTTACTGAATTATGAATAATCAAAGAGGAGGTTGTAAATGAAATGGTAATCTTTATAATGCCAACAAATTTAAATATTCGCCAGCGGCGCGAAGTGGGTAAACCATTGCCTGCCAGTGGTGAACTACTTAGAAAGCACATTATCCCATTTTTACATTAGTGTCCAACTTATTTATAAGAACAGGGACATACCCATTAGTGTTCATAGGTACGGTATGACAGGATATCATAGCAGATATTGGCAAGGGTAGATGGCAAAAATTACAAAAGTTATTAAGAACTACAAAAGACAGAAAACTTTGGAGAACCTTGTTCTCCGACGTCCTGAAGGGACACGTCACATAGAAGAATAAGATTGAATAAACCTATTTTATCAATCGGATAGAATAAAACACAGCTGTTCGAATTATAATAATAATAATACGTTAGAAGGTTAATAGGTCAGATTTTACTTTGTTGGATCTAAATGACTTACTAGTAAGACAGGAGTAACGGTAGCAGGTCGACTCATCACCGCTAACTCCACCCCACCCTCTCAACTCCGGCCAACTCATCTCTGTGACCGCTGAACTCCAGGACAACGCATCACCTGCCTACTCCGCGCGAGGACAACACATCGACATCTAAACTATGAAACTTTTTCGTCGACTTTTTAAAAACACATTTTTTAATACATGAGTTTATTTTTAATTTAAAAATTTATTGAAAATTGTATGCACTTCACCTCAAATATTCAATTGGAGAAGATACAATCTGCAAAATTCTTTCTTTCATCTTCCTTCATATACTTCTTCAATTTAAGGGGAGTGGGATGAAACCAAATTAATTGCTCGAAAATGCATCTCAGTTTCTTTGCACCTTCTGCAACCCCAGCAGTCCTCTATTTGTTTCAGCATGGTTATCTGTCCGATCTTGAAAATTAAACACCAGTTAGCCAAATAGGATGTTGTAACTAATAAATCACTAAGGCAAACAGGCAAACTTTCAAAATCGCTACGACTCAAAACCGATCCAAGAAATGGGCACACGGAATCTATGAATACGGCGCTAGCGTTGATTTGTCCTCGCTCTGAGAAAGTTGGTAGTTGTCCGCTGTTGATTCGGCGGTGTTGAGTCGGCGATGATGAAATTTTCCATCCTAAATAGTTCTGCCATCAGCATAAATACAGAGTTAGGAAACAGAGTATCAGGAAGGTAGATTATGAAGATAAGAAACAACGTCATTTCAAGGATAGAGCCCTAGGGAACCTTCTACATTAATGTGAAATGATCTAGAAGTGTGATCTTTCAATATGACCTTCAATACAAGATTTGTTACGAACGATTGGAGTAAACTAAATATTTGGTCAGGGACACCATAGCCTCCGAGCTTGCAGAGAAGGCCAGCATGCCAAACCTTGTCAGACGTCTTTGAGGTATCTAAAGACACAGCCCGAGGCTCGCCGTTTTTATCTAAAACCTGCTAGACAACTTCAGTAATAACTGTTATCATATCCACGGTTCACCTAGAAAAAGGAAAGCCATATTGTTTATTCGAAAGATGGCCGTGTATAGAGAGATGCTTAACCAGATGTGATTAGAGCGTCTAGTGAGTTGTCAAAAAGGGGTAAAAGACTAATAAGACTATAATTCGAGAGGTCAGAATGTTCAGCAGAGTTCTTAAAGACAGGAACTACAGAGAAGAATTTCCAAGAAGATTTTAAATATATATATATATATATATATGAATATGAATATATATATATATATATATATATATATATATATATATATGAATGTGGAAAAAAGGTTTTCCTGTGACACGTTTCGTCCCTTAGAACATCATCGGACTAGGTTAGTTTACGCTGATGCGACTAAACATTTGCATGAAAGAGAGACGTTTGTAATTTAAAATTAAGAAAATATTTTTGAAAACCTTTTTGAGGAACCGGTAATGGTTCTGCTAGCAAGAAGAAGCAAGTCATCGTGACCGAGGGTTTGACAGTACTGGCCTTGTTCGGACTGTTTATCATACAAGATAACATGCTCTCTCTTAGAAACTATAACTAAGATCCTCTTAGAATAGTGTAAACAGTAAAACAGCAGGCGGGCTCTGGGTGTGTTGAACAAACACAAATGTGCCTGAGCAGACGTCTGCAACAAGGATTGGCTAGCCACCCTATTAGACGAGCATCCTCAAATACGAGTGGTCATCTATATATATATATATATATATATATATATATATATATATATATATATTATAAATTAACTGATTTAAAACATGATTTTTTCGCTACACAGTAATAACCATGTTTCAAAAATGCAAGCTAAAAGCTTCAAATTTAATTTTGTAAATAAATTAAGAACATTAGTTCCATTTCATCCTCAAGCGAATTTTGGAGTTTGAAACTAGGTAGACTGAACCCTTGGGGCCGTCGATAGCTGTGCTAGCACAAAGTCACAAGTCATCGTGACCGAGGGTTTAAGTGTGCTGGCCTTGTTTAGATTAGTGATCATGCTAGATAACACGTTCTCTACCAGAAGCTGTAACTAAGGTCTGCTCAGCATAGTTGCAGTATAAACCACAGGTTGGCTATGCGGGTGTTGAACAAACACAAATGCGCCTGATCAAACGTCTGCAATAGGGATTGGCTAGCCGCCCTAGTAGACAGCTATCCTCGAATACGAGTGGCCAGTTATATACTAGACTGATACACATAGACAATTACGAATATACATTTCCATCCGATAACGGCTTGGACATAAAGAATCTCCACAAACTTATATACATATAGAATTATCAACGGTTTTAATATAGTGACACGTATCTGACCAATGAGAAGTGACCCAAACAAAATTGAATATATCAATGTTTCAGTCTTTTTGTCTGTTTTTTCTCAAACACAGACGAAGCTTTAATAAAAGTGATACATGTTAGATTGATATACATTTCCTATTTGTTCTTTATCTTATCATATATATATATATATATATATATATATATATATATATATATGCGTGTGTGTGTGTGCGTGTGTGTGTAAATGTGTTTGTAAGTGTTTTAATATGTATGTATGCTTGTATATCTTTATCTATATATGGGTGAGCATAAGCGTGTGTTGATTTGGAAATCAATTCATCGTCCGTTCGTTACTCATATTTTCTGGCAATGTGTGTTTTTTTTCTCTGTAGCCACAAAATTTCTAGTCCCCCACCTCCGGAGCATTTCATTCTTCATCCTTCTTTGAGGTTATTCTTTACGCATTTCAACAGTTTCCCAAACAATATACTCCCTGCTGTCTGACGCCCGTCTCTATTCATGAGAAAATCATTACCAGTCTGCGGCACTTTGCTGAACATTCTAAAATGCATCACTCGCATAAGGTACATCTATCTATCTATCTATCTATCTATCTATCTATCTATCTGTCAGTCAGTTCATATCTATCTATTTCAGTTTATTCTTTTATAAATCTGTTCATCTCAATCTGTGCCTATCTATCTATCTATCTATCTATCTCTTTCTCTTTATATATATATATTAATATGTATATATACATATATATATGTGCGTGTGTGTGTATGAATGTATGTGTGTGTGTGTCTGTGTGTGTACAGGTTTGTTCGTATCTGTCTGTCTCTGTCTTTGTCTCCGACTGTCTGTTCGTCTCTCTCTCTTTCTCTCTCTCTCTCTCTCTCTCTCTCTCTCTCTATATATATATATATATATATATATATATAAAGTAAGCGACCACTACAAAGCCATGAAGTGACATATATATATATATATATATATATATATATATATATATATATATATATATATATATATATGTAAGCAAATATGTGGATATAAATCCAACAGTATGAAGAAAAATATATACGGAAAAAACAAACAAAAATCCTTATATACAATTATGTTGTTTTAATGTTAATATGTCAACGTCGGACGTTTCGGTCTAATAAACCATCTTCCGTGACCATGTTTTAAACGTAGCGCAGATCTTATAAAACTTTCATTTATGTTTTTGGATAAGTCTTGTTCTTATGTACATCGTCTTTGTCATGTTGTCTTGATAATGTTATAATTTATGAATATGTCTTGAAGATGGTTTATTAGACCGAAACGTCCGACGTTGACATATTAACATTAAAACAACATAATTGTATATAAGGATTTTTGTTTGTTTTTTCGTATATATTTTCTTCATATATATATATATATATATATATATATTTAAAAAAACGACAGACAAATTACTACAGTTAGGCTTTTATTTAATTTTCTTGTGTTCTGACAAGAGCTTTCTTTTCTGGACAAAGAGTGGGTAGAACTTTGTCAGAATGTTCTGTGTTTCCGAGCGCTTTCGGCTATACTTTTAGCCATTATCAAGGATGGTTCAATGATGGATATTCATTATCAGTGTGTGTTGTTCTATGTATGTTCAGTGTGCAGTAGTGATGTTTTAGTTTCCGATAATACATTGTGGCTTTTGTTCATAGTAGTAAAACTAGTAAACACTAATATATTTGCATCCACTTGCAAAAAAGATAAAAAATAATGGAAGCTCTAATAATAAAAAGAAAAGCCAACTCTTAACAATATCAATTTTGAACAAAGCCACAATGTGCTAACCGTATTCGGAAACTAAAACATCACTTACATACTGAACATACATAGAACACACTCTACTTGATAATGAATATCCATCATTGAACCATCCTTGATAATGGCTAAAAAGTATAGCCGAAAGCGCTCGAAACACAGAACATTCGGACAGTTCTTACACACTTTTTGTCCAGAAAGAAAAGCTCTTGTCAGAACACAAGAAAAATTAAATAAAAAGCTCAACTGTAGTACCTTGTCTGTCGTTTTTAACGAAACATGCATAAAGGAAGGATTGCTGCCTAATTATACAAATATATATATATATATATATATATATCATATGCGAATGTCAGTGTAACACACTTTTTAAAATTTTATTCCTAGAGGCCGTAGCTCAACATCTCATACCATTTTGAAATTAGGCCAACTCCGTGAGAAAATTAAAATCAATTCGACTGGATCTCCGTATCCACGATCCTGAAATTTTGGATTCCCTAGTTTTCGTTTTTTCACAATTTATATAACTTGGAAATAAATTTGGGAATAATCGAAATTAATTGCGAAATCCAGCAAAAGTCACTCATGAAATAAAAATAATTTTTTGTAGGGAAAGTAAGGACCTACGCACATCAAATTGTTTTTAAATAAAGTGGCGGCCGAATTATCGTTGAACTTTTAAAAGGTAAGCTTAAATATTAATGCAATACTTAAGCATGCAGCGATCAATTTTAGGTTGATCTGTAGTTGCTTATCACATCTACTCCTCCCTTGTGATGAGCTTCACAGATATCATGGAAAGATATCTGTGAAGCTCCTTTGATAACTCCAATGTAGACATTTCCTCAATTATAACCTTGGATTTTCAGCATTTTTTAGATCCGTGCCATTACCCATGTTTCAACCAATATTATGGAAAAAGAATAGTTATATAAGATATGTCAAAGGCCTTAATAATATTAATATAAACTAATATTAGTTTAATCTACATAATAGCATTGGTCAGTTCATTTTCGTAAATTCCAAATATCTCAAAAAGTGGTTAGAATTTTTAGTTTGAGACCAAGTTTAGGAAATGGAGTAGTTTAAGTTTGACAAATATTAGTTCTGGGCTTTATGGGATTTACATAATAACTCCAGAATTGTATAGCGAATGAGGAATCTCTTGTGAATGAGTAAGGGCGGTACTTATGGGACAGTGACTTCAATGTGGTGCGGGAATATATTTAGTTTCATTGGATATCAGGTGGACACACGTCCATCAAGTAGGCTGACTAGGACTTTTCGAATTACTAGAATTCTCACGGAAAATACAAACACACACACATATATATATATATATATATATATATATATATATATATATATATATAAGTATATAGGGAGAAAAGCGGTATCTTGAAGGAGAATTTGATAAGCGACTGTGGAAGCAACACACCTGCTCAGTAGACAAATGGCAAGAAAGTGAATCGATTGACAAACTCTAGAAAGATAATATAAAAGCACATACAATGCATTCACAAACATACACATAGGCACACACACACACACGCAGAGACACAGACACACACACGCAGAGACACACACACACACACGCAGAGACACAGACACACACACGCAGAGACACAGACACACACACACACACACACACACACATATTGTATAATAGAACAAATAAAAAGAGTGCAACGTAAAATATAAAATATATATAAAAAGTGAGGTTATAAGAAACATAAAAAATCAAATATTGCCGCCTTTCCGAAACTTAAAGTTTCATGTGGACTTACAGATTCTCACCCGGTTCTCTCACTGTCTTCAGAAGTTTCAAGGGACAAGATACGAAATTCTATAGAAACTTTATTTGCGACAAGGCAGCATTATTTGAGTATCCTTATCTATCTATCTATCTATCTATCTATCTATCTATCTCTATCTCTCTCTCTCTATATATATATATATATATATATATATATATATATATATATATATATATATATATATATATTAATAAATAAAATAGAGCATCTACACAAATATGAGTATACATAAAAAAAATATACATATGTCTATATTATTTAATGAATCATGTTTGAAGTTATGCCTAAATACAGAGATACACGCAAAACACATACATACACACACACAGAAGTACTTGACAAACAAGGATAGTTCATTAGGATATCACACCTGGTCTTTTGTGGCGTTTCGTCAAAGAGTTTTTCAGGAAAAAAGAATCCATCACTTCTTTAGAAAAGCCATATATATATATATATATATATATATATATATATATATATATATATATGAGAAAACGATATATATTTTTTATATATCAAGAACAATATTGAGGAAAAAGTGTAAAAAGTTTTCTTATGACACGTATCATCATTCAGGGTTTTATCGGATTAAATTTGTTATGTAACAAATTTTGTCCAATGAAGTCATAAAGGACGAAACGAATCACAAGAAAACTTTTTACACTTTGTCATATATATATATATATATATATATATATATATATATATATAATTTGTGTATTTAGCCAGCAATCCTAAATTTACAAATAGTCAAATTGCTTTGATTTATATTTTATACGATTTCTCATGTGATCTAAGTTATCGGAAAAGAAAAAAAAATTGTAAGATCACATGAGAAATTGTATAAAAAACTGAATCAGAGCACCTTGTCTGTCGTATTCAATGAAATATATATATATATATATATATATATATATATATATATATGAAATATGCATTTATATATATATATAATATATATAATTATTTATTTAAAAATATGATTCCAACACGCTACATAAGATGTCTCATGTTTCAAAACAAGAGCCGAAAACTTCAATATAATTATTTGAATTAAATTGAATTAAAGTAAGCTCTGTTCCATCTTCAAGCGAAATTATATATATATATATATGTATGTGTGTGTGTGTGTGTGTGTGTGTGTGTGATAAAATATAGTTTTAATGTATATTTAAGGGTTAAAGTGCTCAATATCAAGGATAGTGTGTATGTCAATATAAGTGGAAATTGAAGTCAACACCCAGAGGCGACAGTCTGTTTCATGCTAAACGCATTGCGTCATGGCCTGACGATTGCGTTTAGTGTTGACTTCAGTGACCACACTTATGTTTACACACGCTCTATCCTTGATACTGAGCACATTTATCTAAAAACAATTTGTTTCGTGCTTGAATGTAATCCTCAGGTCGGAAATATTGCTTTCAAACATGAACCAGAAGATCACAACTCGACGTCAACCCGTGTCAACTTTTTTATATACTTATTACTACAGAACCTACGTTATACAAGAAAACAAGAACAATTCATTAAAAATGAGGGAAAAAATATATGTTGGTTCGTGAGTTTAGGCGCGAAACCTTTTTGCAAACATGGCTGTCAAAGCAAACATGAACATGTATCACGCAGAAAATTAACAAATACCGTTTGCGGTATTTAAAGAAATAATTAGCAAATTTTTTCGTTTACTCAAACAATGCTTTTTGTTCCTGCAATTGATTTTTTCTCTGAGAAGGAGCATATCTGTTAAATTTCTGTCAGTTAAATATTAGAAATTGCCGCCATTTTCTTGCACGTCGTTGTGTTAATGATTTGGAGGCGGATTGACATTTGTCGCCTTTCAATACTGTTAAAATCATTCGCTCAAAATGATCACACGCTAATCAGCTAAATGAATGGACCACGTGATAACTGAAAAATATTTTTATAAAAAAAAATAAATGAAATAAGAGAGAAATCTACAGAAACTTGTGTAGACTTTTTACATCGCCTCAGCTTGCCTGGCGTTTAGCTCGGAAAACGAGCGTACACACTCCGTGAGTTTGAAAATTTCATCACGTATGAGGAGAAAAGATACTGTGAAAATTACGTATAGACTTACACAAAGATCTGACTGCGTGTTAAG